GTTTACAACACTCTCCACAACAAACACCACGTATGTCAGCTGGCCATGCCGGTAAAAAATCGGTGCGAAAACTAAAAAAAAAGATGAAGGACCACTCGGTCTCGGGGGCAAAAAACATCAAGTGCATCACGGAGGAGACGGCAACGCACATCCATTTCCCGGACTCAAACCGATCGAATTCGACGGATAAGAGCCCGGGTCTCTGTGTGTTGTAGCATGGAAGTTGCCGAACAGGCGCAAAGCAACTGGCAACTGTTGATTTCGTTCGAACTGCTGATTCTAGCCCCGGGAAAAGCCTTACTAATGAAACCCCCTACGACAAGCAGGTGGAAAAGGAGTTCAGGTATTTTTTTCCACTCGGCCCAAGTTTTACTCGTCTCTGCTGCTGGTCAAGGGTTCGGATAAGAAAGAGCTAATGGTGAAGTAAGACACCCACCGGCTGATGTATTTCTGTGCGAGAATATTGCGAATCAAATTCCCGTCCAAATACAGCTGGGAATATTAACCGGAGCCTTGTAATCCATCGCCATCACTCGTTCCTCCTACTGTGCAGTTTCGACCTATTCGGTGCGAAACCGTTTTCTGCACTTGAGCTGTGAGCTTTGGTTATTATAGTTGGGCGGTGTCCCGAGCGGTGTCCATTAATTCCGTTTCGCTAAAAATCAATATTTTTGACCCCCGCCCGTTTGGAACAAAACGTTACACTTAAAATGACCCCCCTCTATTTATTACGTAACGTTCTATAAACCCACACCCCCCGCCTTTTCATTTAATTAATGCTTGATTTCGTTTTGTATTTTTTATGTTTAGGTAATTAATTATATTATTAATATTCAAAACAAAAACAAAAGATCAGCGTACCATCGAGTACCTTCTTTTCAAAAGTTCAAGGATAGCAAAAAGCTCAATTTATAAAATTAAAACATATCCATTTTGCAAAGCAAGATTTAGTTATGACAGCCTTCGTTGTCGTTGCTAAAAACGTCAAAAAAGACCTGTATTTTAAAACTTTACATCAAGTAACGAAAAAAAAACAAAATGTTCTCTTTGTTACGTAACGCAAAGCTTTACTACTCCTCCCCTATGTATAATTCGTAGCGATATAGGTGACCCCCTCTCCTCCTATAAGCATTACGTAATTCATGGACGCTTCATTGCAGCAAATTTTTCTTCTTTTTACACCTATCCTCTTCGCGTTCAGACCTGGGGGGGGGGATGTGCTGTCAAATCAGCCTACTGATCATCTTGTATGAAACTGGTTCCAAACGTAAACAAACGCTGTAGGTTTCTTATGGCTTGTTTACGTTTGGAACCAGTTATGCGAGGTAGGCGACGATTGTTCGTATTTGACAGCCACCTCCCCCCCTTGGTTCAGACTCGTATCCCTCTGAAATTCTTTAACACCCCTCACATCACATCAATTGCCTGATCTATTCCCATCTATTTTTTATACGCCTGCTCTATTTTCGTCAACACGACACACTCAAAAAAATCCCATCAAATATGTTTTTCCCCGAAAATCCCAAGTAATTACTAGACTGAAAAAATACATCCAAATGAGTGTCGTTCCCCTGTTTAGAACAAATGTCCAACAAAATAATTAATAATTTCAGGCAAAAATCGTTGCAATCATCAATTGCAACGATTAATTCCCTTTATACTTAGATAAGATTTAGTTTTAGTTTTTTAGTTTTAAGCTATCAATTGTTATACTGACATGCAGGTTTAAAAAAAACCTGTTTAAAATACTGAATTGCCAAGACAGGAACAATGTAAAAACACTTAGATATAGATCATATCAATTAAGGCTGGTAAGTTACTGTAGTAACTGGAGCACCTAGGTTAAAAATGAAATGTAATTTATTTTGAATTTGGAACAAATAAAGAGTTAAAAAAAAAAGAGCCTTCCAATGTTCCTCTGATGGCGCACTCTGGAACCGACTGAGGACGTTAACAGTGGCACAAATATTCTGACGGGAAGACAGCATGAGGTATGTCAGACATCCCGTCAGCTCTCGATAGGGACACTTGAATTGTTCCCGGTCATCGTGTAGCTTTTCCAACTTGGTGTTTGGTTCCAATGGTGTGGAAACCGGTTTACACGTGGTGGTTGCCGCATGTAGACCGTCTCTGACAATGTTCCGTTCAGAAAGGCAGTCCGAACGTCCATTTGATGCAGGTGCAATTTCTGCTGTACGGCCACTAACAGTTACGTGCGTACGGTACTCATTCGAACCACTGGAGCATACCCCAACAAACAATTCAAAGTCACAAATAAGCATACACATTGAATAAATGCTGTGTAACAGTGTACAATTGTTGGTACAATGCTGAATAAAAAGAGTTGTCGAATTATGTGCTGAAAAAGTTCATTGAGATCGATAGATGCACATTTATTCCACTGTTTGCTCTAATCTGGTTAATTTACTTATTAAAAGCTGTAAAACTGGTAAATGTCTTCCCAATTCAACGCCAGAAGTTCGATCTAATAACAAACTGAATAAGTGTAATTTGTACATGCATTGACACTTTCATTCGACTGTTTTCAATTGATTTAATAACATGCTTTATTAGATTTCATTGCATTACTTTACAATATTGCTGAATAAAGGTGAATACAGTCAGCATAATAGCTCTTATACCACTATGCATCCATGTTGTAATCACATGATTTGTAAATGCTTTATAAACGACGTATTAAATTCATTATTCGACAAAACTGATTCAGTCTTACAACACAGCGAAATCAGTAGAGTAGTGGTTATCGTTTCCGCTTTCCAATTAGAAGGTTGTGAGTTCAATCCCAACCTCAACCCTTTTTTTATTTGTGTAGAACATAATTAATTTAAATAGTAATCATCGATCACATGACTCACGATAATGAATGCATTGATCTAGTTTGAAATATAACCGAGCATCCTTTCTCTCGACTTGGTCTCATTTAAAACAACGATGAATGAATTAATCATTCCCACAGGGCCTTGAAGGAGCTAGAGTTGCGATCGGGAGTGCTGATAGGTATTTACTTTCATGCAAGCTTTTATTGATTATTGAGTTGCCCATATGATGAATTCTAGGATAGCGCAGATGACAAGGCAAGTGGCTGGTGATCGGAAGGTACACATGGTTCGAATCCCCATACAACGACATGTATAAATAATATAATAAATTTTCTAATATCTGTGTGTGGTGCGAGCTACGTCAGAAATAATGAAATACAATACACTTAAGAAACACACCCTTCCCTGTCCACGTCCTTTTTATTTTTGGGTTAATTTTCTCACAGTTGAATATAATGTATAATAATGTCTAATTAAACCTTACTTCACTTGAGAATCAAGCGTGTACAGACCATCACTGTTTTAATTTAAGGAAGCAGTGATGTCTAATAAACGCTGAATAATCAAAAATTTTATCGTATAAACTCTGTTACAACTCATATAAGTCGAATAAAAGCTTCTCGACATACTTTATACAACACCAGTAGTTCAATGTTGTGGTTGAATAAATTCTCCAGATTTGTGTGAACAAAGCCTGAACAGAAGTTATTATTAAAAATAGTACAAGTACTATTAAGCATGCAGTTGAATAAAATGGCCAATAAGTCGATTCTTCAATAGACGATTGTTTGTTGGGACGTTTCTTGGTAGTCCAGTCCGAACCGTTGAGAGCCGGCTCCTGCAACGCTGATGTTAGGCTTCTGCTGATCGTGTAGACTGCTTGTTGCACCGCTTCGTTCCACATATGCTGCTCATTCTCTTTTGCCAATAAACCACTGCCTCGACAACACCTTTCAATAGTTTTCCTACAGTTAAAATTGAAATCAACATAAGGTGAGAAGAACAAATTACAAATACCGAATCAAATTACTGACTAGTGTTCTTAAATAATAGGTTACATCTATAAATAGAAATTTAGGAGAAAAATTCTACAAACTACAATTAAGTCTATATTACCGAACTAAAAGGTAAAGGAAAATTATTTAATTTGAAGATTATAAGCACCCGTTTGCTAATCAACATTTAATATGCAACAGCTGAAACTGCGCAAGCTAGGGATGCCTACGACGCAATCGGATTTATGTTTGAAGAGGTGTTGAATTGGGTTCTTTAATTTTGAAAAATATATTGGTTTTTATATATCATCTGAAAGAGCTTCGTTTTCTGAGCACAGCGATATTTTTTTCGAACCCACACACTTTCATCTCGATTTTTAAACCAAGATTTAAAGCAAAATAATAACTTCACTGTTTGACACTAAACTGACAAAATGACAGCTCGCTCCCATACAAAGTGACACCGAGGGGCGCTAATAAGGTGATTTTTGCAAATGTAATCGTTCTTATTTAAAAAAGTTCCAGTGTACCAAAATTGATGAAATTTTGGGTTTGGGTTCCATTTTTAATGCAGATTACGAATATGCATTTACCTCAATACCCTTAAAGAACCCAATTAGCAAAAGTATGTCGTAGTTGATACCCGGTAATTTATGCAAAATTTAACATACTGAAATCCCTTTAGGAATTTATAACATCGTTTACTCTCGGAATAAATGTTCATGAATTCGGTAAATTCTGGTGGCGTCCGCAACGTTTCTTCGAACAAGGCTAACTTAAGTAGTGAGTCAATTTAAAATCGTTAGTTTCCACCAATACGTTCAGACTACAGAGTTATAACATTTTATAATAATTATCGACAAGAAAAATTTCATCAATATTGGCTTATAACATGTTGTAACTACTCAGTCTGGCCAGCGTTTTACAGGACTCTACTTATGACGATAGAGGTTTTGGCCACGCTATCTGACTTGCTGCCCCACTGTGTGGCACTATAAATTATCGTAACAAAATTTGTTAAAAATATATAAATTACGACTAAGTAGTCACATGAACCGATTCATCCGATTCATTTTTGGAGAAAAATGGCCAGGTAAATTCGTGTTTGGGTTGTCATTCGTCAACCGTGAACAAAATGTCAAACTTGTGAAAAATAAAAAAAAAATAGTCTTGGCTGAATCAGTGATTCGTTTTGTGATTTTTGTAAAAATTCCCAAAAATTCAGCGACATTTCCAAATGAAATGGAGCGCCTTTGTAGAGACTAGGAACGTGCCCGTCCGGTGGAAGTAAAATTGGTAACGGTCAACGGCGCAGGGTGCTCGGGAAAAGCAGAGCAGTTTGCGTTAAGTTTGTTTACGGTTGTTATTTTTGCTTGGCTTCGGAACGGACCGTCACCCGGCGGTAGATCTCAGCCCAAGAATGGATAATTGCCATAACTATGCCACAACGTGTAGGTTTTAATGCTGGGACTGTGGAGTGCGAATTGTGTCGAAAAATTGTAATTATTTTTTTTTTTTGTAGCGAAAAAGAAGCGGATTCCCATATCGGACGACATTCACATCATCATCAAGAAGTTCCGGGATAAGGACAAACACGATGAAAAGCCCTGTAAGTTTAGGTTCGATTTCTTGCGAAAATGAAACGAGTTGAAGTAAGGTTTCTTTTTCCAGCGACATCCGGCGATCATGACTACGACGACGAACACAGTATGGACTCTGAGGAGCTGAGGCGAGTCCGACTGCAGGAGCCTTCATCATCCTGCGTTGCTGCGAGCACTTCGTCCAGCAATAGTAACAGCGGGACAATGAATAGCGTTATGGGTACAATTATGGCTGGTGGGACGGGAATTACCATCGGAACGGGTGGCATGTCAGTTCATCAGCAGCAACCCGTTTCCTCGCAGCCGGATGATATTAGGATGATACTGAAGAAGTTGACGAATATTGAGGAACTGCTGAAAGTGGTAGCCGAGCAGAGCTTTAATCGGCTGGCTGCACTGAAACAGGAAGCATCAGGATCGGCTACGGTTCCTACGACGGCTGCCACAGCTGCCAGCCTAGGACTGATCGCTACCGAGTCCAACTGCATCAGTATGGAACCGACCTTTAAGTTTCCACTGAGAACACTGAAGGAATTGATCGAATTAAACAAGGGCATCTGCAGCGACGAAAGTCTGTACAACAAGCTGTTCGAGTATCTGACCAAGATAAAGCTGGAATGTGATGAAAACATCGTGATGAATGCACTGTCGATGATAGTCAGCGACGAAGTACTCGATGCGGTTACGTGGGACGGTGGCAAAAAGTTCAAGCTGTCCTCGTTGGTAATCTTCAGTGATTCTTTGTACGGTGAGTTGAGATCACGACGGGGCGAAAACGGAATATGCTAAAACTTAGTTTGTTTGCAGTGGCGTGGTTCAAGGATCGGCTCAAGTACGATGAGTATGTGTCCGAAATGAAGGACGCCATCGAGAAGTCCCACAAACGGTTCGCCAAGATGAAGGCGAAAAAATTATCTCAACAGCAGCACCTGCAGCAACACCAAACACTAACACTGACGACGGCCGGAGGGACAACAACGGCCACAGTTGCCAGCGACGGTCAGCTATACCTGGCGTAGTTCGATGATCTCGCTGCCTCCGCGCTTTGCTGAGGGCGATAGAACAGGTAGGTCAGGTTTTCATTTTTCATATCTATCTGCTTTTGGTCTATCCCAATAGTTTCCTGTTGTAGCAACAGCTTAAGCATCAGGAACAGCACCGTTCACGTTTAGAAACAGTCTGGCAATTTTTGTTCGGTTCATAACTTTTGTATTGTTTTACCTTCATTCTATCCTCAACGAAAACAAAAAAAAATCTGATCAAAAACGAGATTATAATGATTGATCTAATTTGTGGCACACGCATCCAGAGCAAAAGAGCATGTTTTTTTAGTCCTAGAATGTCACAAAGACGATGATTACTTTTGTAGTAGCAAAGTGTGATCGATTGCTAACGGTTTTGCATACACGGTGAAGAAAACAGATACATTACACAAATAAAGAGGAAATATTAAGTAATTTGGGTGAGTCTTAAGCATATATCGTCTCATTGTGAACATTCCCTAAGGTCAGGGGCCCATCTGCTGTGGCGGTGGGGTGGCATCTGCTAGCATGTTTAAACATCATGACCAATGTAAGGAGAGGGTACCTTGAACATGAAGACGTTCAGCTTACGTCACACGACATCGACATGATGTTTTAACATGCTAGCAGATGCCACAACAGTGGACATCTGGCCTATAAGAGGCTGTAGTGCCAGTTTAATTTTCATGGTTTTATCTGCGTATAGATATGGCAAAACATATGTTCTAACTTTTTATCGAACTAAGTTTTGAAAAAGTGTGAAATTCATAGGGCCAAATACTGGCACACATACCCTATATGTGTTCTTCCAGACACCATGCAAATTTCGATTTAACCATAGTAGGCATCCTCCACCTATTTACCTACTGTCAAATGTTTTGCTAGACCAAATTTTACGTGATGAGCTTGTCGAAATTTTAGTAGAATTTACATTTAAAAAAATCTTCAAAATAACCGGGAAAAAATGAAACTCCATTTCGATTCAAAATTGTGCCAGTATCCGCAAACTATTTTTCCGTTTGTCCTAAATTTCCTCCTTTGGGATCGCAACCTTCTAACGAAGGTTTGCACCAGCTGTCCGTTCTATCGCTACTCAAGCACCTTTGTCGGGTTGTATCTGATTGTAAACCTGGTAAGTAAACCTACCTTCCACTTGCCATGACAGGAAATTCCCTCAAAATCCTCTCAATCTACTCCAGATCTTTGCATCCTACGAACTGATCCAGCAAATGCTCAATCCCATCGCGACGGACAAGCTTACGGTTCCGCTGAGGGTGTGGAAGCTGAACCTGACCCTTCAGATACCGCACCAATATCTCCTGCTCGGGCGGGCTCTGTTTTCCGTTCAAGCCTTGGCCCGGACGCTGTACAATTTGGTGGTGGGGAATGTTGAAGCCCTGCTGGGATTGGTGCTATTTGTGCCGATCTTCTTCGCTATGAATGTCATACAGTTCGCCTCGGAGTGCCGGATGAAATGGGGAGACGTGGAATTTCGGACAGTTTTGTGGAAGCAAATGCTCCGGCTCGGATCGACGGTAGTGTTTTGGAGTAATATTTGCTGCTTGCTCTACAATCAATACGCGGGATGTATTTTCGATCATACATAAATGTTTATTGCCTTTTTGCCTATAGGATGCATTGTGTTGTTTGTTTGAAAAGAAGACATCACGTGGAACACTCTTATACATAAATGTTGGGGTGTACAAAAATCGAAATAGTATACATCTGTTAAAGTATATGTTCATTAATATAGAAATGTTGCTTTTACTATTCACCAACCAATATCTTTCTGCTACAAGTTTTGTATGGAAAATCCGTTCCCTCACACAACAGCGTATTTTACGCTATTTAATAAATTGGATTGTGCACTAGGGTGAGTCAACTCAACAACTCCCTGTTCCCCAATATTCGTTCAGTGCGTATTGAAGTCCCTAACAACTGTGCAAAAATTGAACGAATTAATTAATTGAAATTGAAATAATCTCGATAATCTCGATCAGGGACAATTTTAAATTGTATATTGGAATATGTATGGAAAACAGAACGATCCTCTTCTTTATTTTTTTTTTTCTTTATTACAGTGACTTTCAGCCACTGGCTGGTTCGTCACTTAGACGATCCTATTCATTTGCTTACCAAAAATCCAAATATTGCTCAAATTTCACCAACTTCGATTGAGGATACTATACAAACCCACGATGTCAAAGACTGCGATTTGATTTGATCTTTGTACATTTTAGATCAAGTTTTTCACAGCTCATTTATTAATATAATAGTAACTGTTTCTCAGAAGTTTAATCGATTTGCAGTATTCTACAAAGTTCTGCGTAGTATTACCAATCTATTTCTACGATTTGGTAAACTTTGAGCAATATTTGAATTTTTGGCAAGCGAATGAATACCTAGGTTCGTTTCGTTTTCCATATAAAGACTGGACTCGGAAAAAAATGCGACACTTTGTTTTGGGTGTAACTTTTTATCGCGTGGGTAAAAATTAATGAAATTTTAGGTAATACTAGTTTAGAGTGTTATGTATATGTGTGCGCGATCTGTCAAGTAGTTTTCAAGATGCATTCGAAACAAGAAGAGCTACACCAGCAAATCTTGGGCGCGGTGTTCAATAATCCTGGTCAGGCGCACAGATCGATCGGCAAAAGGCTTGGAATCCACAATTCCACCGTGTCCCGCGTTGTGAAGATGTTCCAGGAGACGAAGACCATCGAGCGGCGCGCTGGAAGCGGCCGAAAACCGAAAACGGAATACCCAGAGAAGGCGCGGAAGATAAGGCAGTACTTTAAGAATAACCCGAACCTTTCCACCCGAGACGTGGCCAAAAAGGTCAATTCGTCGAAGTGGTTCGTCCAGCAGACCATGAAGCGGGCTGGGCTACGTGTTTTTAAGGTCAGGAAGGCGCCAAACCGGACTGACAAGCAATACACACGGTGGCCAAATTGCGTGCGCGGAAGCTGTACCGTGAGTGGCTGGTCAAGCCAGGCTGTCTCGTCATGGACGACGAGACATACATCAAGGCGGACACCAAACAAATCCCCGGCCTCGAGTTTTTTGTCGGTACGTCCCGCAAAGAGGTTCCGGAAAAGTTCCGGAAGAGAAAGATGGACAATTCGCGAAGAAGTACCTGTTGTGGCAGGCGATCTGCGAGTGCGGACGGTACAGCAAGCCGTTCGTTACAACCGTCACCATAAACGGGCAGATTTATCGAGAGGAATGCTTGCAGAAGCGCTTGCTGCCCTTCCTCCGCTCTCACCGTGGTCCCACGCTGTTCTGTCCGGATCTCGCTTCGTACCATTACGCCAAGCCTGTAATGTATTGGTACGAAGCGAAGGGCGTTAATGTGGTCCCGAAGGAGGCGAACCCGCCAAATACACCAGAACTTCGTCCGATCGAAAAGTTTTGGGCGATAATGAAGAAGAAGTTGAAGAAAAGCGGAAAAACATTCAAAACCGATGAAGCTTTGAAGAAAAACTGGGAGAAATTGTGTAAGGAAGATGGGCAAAGCCTCGCCCAAGATCTCATTAGCAGTGTTAAGAGAAATGTACGAGCATTCAGCTTGGGGGAGGAAATTTAATAAATAAGTTATGCCAAAACATAGCTAATATATAGTTATTTAATCCCTGAAAATTTGAGAAGTATCCGATTTAAAATAAATTTTTGGTGATCATTTTTGTGTGTCTCATTTTTTCCGAGTCCAGTCTTTATATTGGAACAGCCATTCACCACGAATTAGACAATCTTCGGTTTCCACGCTTTACCAATGGTCATACCACCTCAGATAGTGATGACTGTTTCCACCTCGGTTGTCAGCTCAGATCAGCAAATGACGGTCGATAGAATTACTTACATCATCGTTTTGGATGGATTTGCGTTATGGGGCTGAACCAATACCATGTGCATTTCAATTTGGGATAAACATCATTCTACAAAGGGCATTACATATTTCAACTGAGGTCCGTTCGCTTCTCGTATCAATGTTCAACCTGCATTAGAGAGGAGCATCATCTGATTACAAAACAAACCGTCATCCGGTTGCAGCTATGATTCGATTTGAATAGTTTGAGGTTTCATTCGAACGGAGGATGATGTTTTGGTACAGTGTAGTAGTCCTATATATCGGCATCAACATTGCAAAAGGGCAAAACTAACAACGATGTCGAACTGTAAAAAACGCTGTCAAAGTTTTCGAAGCAAAAAAAAATGATTTATTTTAAAGCAGTAAGCAGTGTTTAGTTTGAGTTGGTCCTTGTTCATCAGTTCATAGTAGTTTGGATTTTTATTTTGTGTTTTTAGTGTTAAAAATTCTCAACAATTTTGATTACGCCCTTCTGTTTTCGTACCTTTTGTTTGACCAACTGTCAATTTGGCCTCACTGACAGCGCCTTATTCAATCTTTAAAATTTGTCGAACCTCTTAACGGAACCTCCCTTTATGAAGAGTTTTGAGTGTGTTGGTTTATTTCCTTTAAATTCCGTTATAATTGCTTATCTTTTGACAGATACGCGTATTTCGTCTACTACTTGCAGACTTCATCAGTGCTAAGTACTCAACACCACTTCAGTGTCAACATTTCAAAGGGGCGTAATTGCATTTGTAACCAATGGCTTTAGCCGCCTATTTCTCGTGAATAAAAACTTACTCGTGAAGAATCATGACACCAGCAGGTAAAGGAATGTTTCCTTTACTAGCTAGCATTGTTAATTGTGAGGGATGGGCAGGGCTGGTAGTGCTGATGCGATATAATAGTAGTGACTTTAGTGACTAAAATTACGGAAATAGTGACCAAATAGTGACTTATAAATACTAAATAAGGGCCTTATTACGAGTGTCACTTCACGGTGAAAACGAAGTGAAGTGACCAGTTTTCACTCACGGTGAAGTGATTGCCGTGTAAATCAAATGGGAATCACTTCACCGTGAGTGATAAGTTGTCACTTCACCGTAAAGTGACATCGGTAATAAGGCTGTAAGTAACCATTTATATGGTAACTTAAAAATTCAAATACGGTTTGATATTGAAATAAACTTTTTATGTCATGGCACTTAAAATCAAATTTCATAAATTCCTCTAATTTAAACTAATTTCACAACAGAATCTCCTGGAAGAGCATTTTAAGTGATTTGATTTCAGAGTTGCTTCAGAATGATCTCAAGAACTTTTTTAGAATAATTCCCCTTCTCTTAAACTTAGAGGCAAATAAGCTTTAACAAAAATAATATTGCACTCTTGAAATTCTTTGCAAAACAATTAAAAAAAAATTCTTGAAAATAGATTATTTTCGTAGTTGGAAATGCTTAACATCAAATATCAGAATTAAAGTGGATATTTTATACGATAGATGAGGAGATGAAAATAAAGAATTGATAGTTCCGTTGTATATAGAAAATAGAAAGCGAACAAAGGGCCATTTTGAGGAAGCTACGAATCGGGTAGAGCATCTCCTTTACCAAGCTCATCCGTTAATGAGAGATGGTGAGGAGTGTTTCCCCCTGCCACCACTGGCAAAAGGGATGATCGCCTCGGATGTACCTCGGATGTGCGGAAACAGTTCTATTGATTGTTTCACACTCAAGTCGCCATCTGACGTAAACATCTACCCGTTTCGTACCTTCCACAAAAATTGTCCTTGGCTCGCTTTCTACTTTGTATATACAATTTTCACACTGCCGGACTATAACGGATCTATCACCTCTATAATTTAATCTCCTCATCTCTTGCCTCATCTATCGTATAAAATCTCCACTTTAAGTCTGATATTTGATGTTAAGCATCTCCGACTATGTATGTTCACTATTGTTCACGCATGAAGTAATAACACATCATTAGTTAAAGTGGATTATTTTCGTTTTTCATTGATTCTTCTAGGAACTCCCTGAAGGCTCCTTCGTAAATCAATTTTAAATTTATTTGAAGTCTTTTTCGAATTTCAATGCAATTTCAGAAATTTCATACATTTCTGCTTAGAACAATCTTGGACTTCTCCCCTTCGATTGGAAATTCAATTCGTATTCTCCTTAGAAATACCATAGTATTTCCTCAGAACTCTTAAGAATTATTGGAAGTATCTTCAGAAATCACCTCAGAATTCTTTTAGAAGTATCTGCAGAGACCATCTTTGGAGTTCACGGGATTTTCATGGAATTTTCATTAGAGCTCCCTTAAGCAAAATTTCAAAACTAATTTTGAATTCTTATTAGAATTGGACCTTGAATTCTCATCCAATCATTCTTCTCGGAACTCTCGTTAAAATTCACTCTCCATTCAATATTCCAATATAAATTATTTCCAAAATTGTTCCGGAGCTGAATTTTACGTCTCCAATAATTTAAACAATAATCAAAAGCGACGCTCGTATTTGTTAAGCCAAGCTTAACTATGTAGGTAAACCTGGCTTATTCTCTGATATATCTTGGTGTCTTCCCTAGAATCCTTTAAAATTCTCTTTAATTTACTTGGGATTTTTTTAAAGTTCTTAATCATCCTTGAAAGAATTTTGAAAATCTATCACAGACCAGTGTTCGGAAAATAATTCTCAAATCTCATTCATTGAGTCTCCTTGTGAGAATAAACTCGCGTGCGAATGTGGCAAACAAAATTCACGCTTGAGATTCTTATGCATATTCACGCACTGACACTCACAACGTCGAAAAATCATTCCAACTTCAAACTCTTAAAAACCACTAAAACGTCAATTGATACCATGGTTATGCATGTTTTGTTAGTTCTCCAACCCCTGATGCACAAACAATAGTAATAACAATAAATAATGCCAAAATATAAATAAATGAATTTTCGAATTATTAAATGAATATTTTAGTAGTGAAAAAGTGACTTTAGGGATTATTTTTAGAGAAATAGTGACTTAAGTGACTTTTTGGTGTAGAAAGTGACTTTTTAGTGACTGGCTTCAAAATAGTGACCAAGTCACTAAAAAGTGACCTACTACTAGCCTTGGGGATGCGCTTTCATTTGCGAGAAATCGATAGCTAAAGCCATTGTTTACAAAAGCAATTACGCCCCTTTGAAATGTTGGCATTGACTTATTGTTTTTCGGTTTTCAATTGCGCCCTTTTGTAAAAATTTAATATATTTGGTTTCTTTCGTTTTCTTTAATTTAATTTAATGTAAAATTTAAATGGTTGTGAAAACAAAACAAAGAAATAACCACCATCATCTCTGATGGAATTGTCAAAGTCCCAGCGGTAATGAACGCGCAAACGGAGGTCACTTGTGTGCGGGTACTTTTCAGCAAGACATTGCTTCTCGGTAAGTAATGCAACATCGGATATGCAATGGAAAGGATGCTGATTGCGTTGGTTTTATTTTTGTTTAAGCCATCAGAAATCAGCTGGTACTGTTGTTCGCCGATAGCACCGAATTGACCCACACACTTAGACAAAATGTTGTAAATTTAGGTGCTCTGAGACGGACATATACGAGCGTAAATTTTGACATAAAATTGAGTTATAATAGACGCGAAATTCACCTCAATCAAACGTACTTTTGAACTTTTCAAGTCTCGGAGCACTTAATTTTACATGACATGTTTGTTTACGTCTCATTTTTTATGTCAAAGATGGATTCCGTCACGTGTAAATTTAGGTTTTTCTAAGTGTGCAGCGATTGATAAACAAGATTCTTTATAATTAAGTTGGAACCGCGGAGACAGGATAAACGAATCGGGAACTGGGGTTTCCAATATTAAGGTGAAAGTTAATGCTTTTCCGTTGATACTGAATCCACACCCGTTCGAACCACATCCAAATTCAAAATGCACCAATACCAACAAGCATTGCAAATTAGGAAAATGAGAAGTATCGAAATTTTGACCGTATTCGTAAACACAATATGCTTGTATTGTATAGGGTTAACTACCCCATTTCCGGCCTATTAAGCACAACACGCACTTAGTTTTTTTTTT